CCCCCCTGGGCCGTCGCGGGCAGAGCGGGACCGAGGGGCCGGGACGGGACGACGGGGGCAGGCAGACGGCAGGCCTCCCAGGAGAGCAGGGGAGCTGGGCGACGAGAAGCCGGGCCCCGGCGGCTGCAGGACCCCCGCGGCGTGTGGACGCGACGTTCCTTCCCTCCCACACCTCGCCACCGCCGGCAGGGCTTAGACCCTCCATGCCTCACCCTCGAGTGCTCACCCGCGTCGGGAGAGGACGCGGACACCTGCATCGGTGGGCACAGCCACGAGGGCATGGCGTCAGTTCTGTGTGGCACAGGTCAGATCCCTGGTGCAACTGCACCCGAGGCCCTTCGCTGACCTCCCGAGTACAACGTTGCCGCCACTTCACTCCGCCCCAGATCCCACGCAGAGTGCTTCTGGTCGCCTGGTTAGGAAACCTGCAGGGCAGGGAACTCGGAGTCACAGCTCAGCTCAGCGACACATCCCAAAGCCGCCACAATGGCTGGGGGAAATGGGCACCTGTTGGAAATGAGGAAAGGGAGCAACTGGTTACTGAGCAGTATCAGCAGCAGAGCCACCGAAGAGTTTACACGGTTTTAAAATAAGAGCCACCTCGTAGGAAGGTCACACTGGGCTTGTTTCTGCAACGTTGGGCTAGGCCATCCAGACCAACCTTCCACGAAACTAGAAAGGTGGGACAAACAAGAGCAAAGGCAGTGTAGCCAACAGGGAGCGAAGAGTAGTGGGGTCAAGGTCAAAGGTGAGCTCGGCATTTGGGGTCAAGTTTCCCCTGCGAGCGTTGCCTATCTAGAAGAGGCATTCGAAGGCTCAGCTACTGAGCAAAGCTCCTAACAGACCGGTGACCAAACAGATAAGTGGTTGTTCTGAGACAAGGAAGGAGCGGGAGGGGCTGGTAACCCCAGGCTTTGCTTGGGCTCCAAAATGCTGTGCTCTAGGGAAACGGTGGACTGAAAAACACCTGTGGGGACTGAAGCTCAGCGTGGGCTCACATCCAGTCCTGGTCGCGCTAAGGTGGTCCAGGCTGCTGTGATGTCTTCACTCCTTTCCTGGGGAGGGAGAAAATATCTGAGATCACAGATTATCTCCACAGCTTTTCAAGTTTCATTGTGCCACACACGGAGCAACCCGAGCACATCAAATCCAAGAGAAACAATAGGAAACAGAGACTGACCTTTGGGAGTCCCAGATAGTGAAGGCGGTAGCATGAACTTTGTCTAAGTCCATTTTCTGTTGCTATAACTCAATACCTGAGACTGGGTAATTCATAAAGAAAATAAATAAATTTCTTACTGTCATAGTCATAGAGGCTGGGAAGTCCAAAGTCAAGGGCCACATCTGCTGAGGACCTTGCTGGTGGGACTCTGCAGAGTCCTGAGGCAGTTCAGGGCATCCCATGGCAACGGTCTCACCAGGGACGGCCAAACTGGCTTTTATAACGAACCCATTCTCATGATAACTAACCCACCTCATGATAACCCATTAATTCATGAATGGATTAATCCACTTGTGAGGGTTCTACTCTCATGACCCAATCACCCCCAGAGGTCCCACCTTTCAACACTGCTGCATCAGGGAGCAGGTTTTCAACACATGGACTTTTAGGGGACGTATGCAAACCATAGCACACTTTAAAATAATTATGCTGAACATATTTAAGGAAGCAAAAGCAAGAATGACACTGGAAACTATAAAAAGGAATCAAATTGGAACTCTAGAACTGAAAAGTACAATAACAAATTAAAAATTCATTGAATTGGTTTACTAGAGAATTACTTAGAACTGAAGGAAAAATTGATGGAATGGAAAGTAGGTCAGGAGAAAATATCCCCAAACCAGCAAGAGATGAAGGTTAGAAAATTCAAAGAAGAGTGTGCTAGACACAGGGCACCCGAGGAACAAGTCTCACATACGTGTGTCTGGGTGGTCTCCGAGCAACTCAGCATTGCCAGCATTTCCTTCAAATGTCCCATCTGCGTTTCAGAGGTGTTGGCAACTATATTTCCCCAAGTATTTTTCTGTAAAGTTACAGGTTAAAGTTTTCCACCAAGAGGCACTTGCATGCAATTTAGAAGTCAAAGAGAAGGGCAGGCTATTGATGTTTGGAAGCACATGCACATAGAAGGGTCGAAGCAGCTTCCAGGTGACCTACGAGGTGGGACAGGCACAGCATCATTGCTACAGACAGCCATGGTCAAAGGGGGAAAAAGAGAGAGGCACAAAGAGTCGCTGAAATCCAGCCAGGAAAGTGTTGAAGTTTCTTGATTATAGCTCAAGGTCTTGGAATAATTCTCCATGGCCCTTGGCTCCACCGTCCAAGTCAGACTTCCTTGATCATAAAAGGCAGCCTATGTTTGCAACTTTGTCATTTTCTCGCCCTGCCTCTTGCCAGTAGACTTTTGGAGATCCAGAACCCTCTCTCCCTGCTATGCCTACTCTGTTCCTTTTCAGTCCAAGCTGGCAGTGTTTCTGCTAATGTAATCTTCTCAAAAACTGCTTAGGCCTCAAATGGGGTCCAGTCCACTAGACAAAAGACATCCACAAAACTCAAAATAAGCCTTTCTCGAGCTTGGGCTCCTGCTGAGATGGCCAGGACAATACCATTGCACTCCCTGGGCCCTGCAGATGGATGGCAAGGACCGCGAGGCTCACCCTCACCTGGCTCAAGGGTCTCCGTGTGAGTGAGTGGGCCCTGAGGCACCCCCACCTTGGCTCATTGCGAGGTCATAACGAAAAGGTTCACAGTCACACCCTCAGCCCCACTGTTAGGCCCGTTTTCCTGCGAGTGCCCTGGGTTCCATCTCTACTCAGAGGCATTTCAACTTTAGCTTTGTCTGCAGTCTGGAGAGGCTGAGACTCTTCAGAACCACCAAGACCTGGTTCCCGTTTGTGTAACGGTCCTTCCCGTGACCTCTCTCCTCTCATGTTTTCCTGCAAGCGGCGAGAAGCCTCCTGCCTGGCCTCCCTGCCTGGCTCACTTGCCTCCTGGGGCTTTCTGGGACGACCTTAAGCCACTTGTCCTCAGTTGCTTGTGCCCCCGCACTGAAGCAAGGCTGCCCACCTCTGCTTGTCTTCTCACAGCAGGCGAAGAGCCAGGCGGGCCAGGGTCTGTGGAGAAACGTCGTTGGGAGTTTGGAGAAAGAGATAAAATGCGAGCCGGAGCAGGCAGCGGGGCCCAGGCGTGGTTTTCAAGGCGGCGGGCTGAGCCGGGGCTGTGGACGGAGCCCTGCGTGGGGTATGTGTGCGCAGCTTCGCAGGGCCCCAGGAATTAATGAAAAGCAGCGGTCCCCATCCCGCCCTCAAGAAAGGCCTCAGCACCCAGGCAGTTAGCTGGGGCCAAGATTTCACTTTTTGAGGGAATTTATTACGGAGAAACAATTTCCTATAGTTTGAGGGGGGTGTTTTCATTTGTTTTTGCAAAGAGAGGTCAGAGTAAGAAGTGCTTTTGTACATACTCAACTACAGCAGCAGCCAAGGAGCCGAAGGCATTCACCTTGGGCACATTGATGCAGGCCAAGACCTGCAGGTGCGGTCACCCCAGAGGGTGGCACAGCGCTGGGGCTGTAGCCAGGGCCAGGGTAGAGGTGGAGGGGGCTGGAAGGGCAGTGGGAGATTTCGGCACAGCCCCGTTGATCTCCGATGAGTCCTACCTTCCACTATCTCTTTTTCCCAAATAAAGTGACATTTTCTAACCTTGTCAGCCCGTTGCCTCTTGCTTGTTACTGTCTCAAGTTTTTGTCTCACTTTTAATTACAGTCATACCTACAAACCTATTTTGCCA